TGTTAAGTTGGTTCCGTTCTTGTTTCCTAATTTATTTTATATCTGTATCATTTCTTCTTTACTGATCTCTAAAGATTGGTTTTATTTCTTGTCATCTGTTTTTCATACTTCCCTTCTTACTTTTCTTGTCTTTTTTATTTCCTCCTCTCTTTATTTGGCCTTTTTCTTTCTCCTTCCTTCCGTCATTCATTCTTTTCTTTGTTCTCTCTTGTTTTCTTCTTCCTTACATTTCTTTCTCTCTTGTCGTTGCTTCTCTCCATCTTCTGCTCTTGCCTCTTTTGTCTTTTCTTGTAGTTACATTCTCTATTTTATTACTGTTTTGTGCATGAAGGAGACGAGTCAGTGCAAGTTCATTCACTCACACACAAACACACACAAACAACCACACACATACACACACACTTACAGTTACAAATCCCCCTCCAGAGGATTTTAATGGACGCTGCCAAAACACACACTTCTCTTAATCCCTGATTCCGGCACAACGGCCAAAATCAGCTGACAAAATCAAACCATCTGCTCATTTCACTCAATCAAACATCTCAAACAGAGATTCCCCCCCCCCACACACACACACACACACACACACTCCTCCTTCTTCTCCTCCTCTGTCTTTCTCTTTTTGAGGGCTGTGAATTAGACCTGATCAATTGATCTTCAGGGAGCTGCAGAAATCACATTAGTCTGGAGTCGGCCACTGCACTAAAACACACTGTAATTCAATTGGCTGCAGTGACTGATTGAAACCAGCATGCCCCGCCTCCCCCTTCCCTGCCCTCAGCTCCCTGCAGCCGTGCTGTGCATTGTGGGAGTTTTGCTGTGGCCTCTGTGCCGGAGGGGCCCGACGCTGATAAAAACACACACATTTGTACTCCTCTGCTGACAGATATTGCACTTTCCTAACCTAATTGGAGGGTGGGGGCCGCGGAGGGGGGGCTGCTAATGTGGACGCATGGCTCTCATGATACAGACCACTTGCCTGTCCACCCCCCCCACACACACACATACACACACACACACTCTCATGCACTACAACTGCCGCACAACAATTTGTGTCACTGTGTTTGAGAAGTGCTGTCTGACAAGACTCAAATGGGCTAATGCACTTTGTGGGAGAGACCACACACACACGCCAAAATCTACATGTACCATCAACACAAACAGGAGAAGAAGAATAGACACACGAGACGCACATTTACTCATGAATACTACATGAATGCATGGACACAGTAAAAACTGAAAAGGATACAGGTGTTATAGTGAAATCTGTCTGGTTCTGAATTATACCAGTTGTTGTCACAACTGTCAATCCTGAGATTTTGAAGGTTTTTAACAATACGAATAATTTAGAGTAAAATGCCAATATATTCTTTTATATTCTACAGTATTTTGTGAAAGTTAATTACTACTTGTGAGATTCAGATGCAGTAAAGGAGCATTCACAGTGGAAACAAAGGAGATTTATTTTGGGGCTCTCTCTTCGGCTTTTGCTGCAGGGAAAGTGTTGAGAACCTGATCCACAAGCACTCGTACGCCCGGTCGCCGATCCGAACCTACACTGGCGACGAGGAGAACCTGGGCGAGGACGGACACTCCGCACACGCCAGAGGTGAGCCGCTGTCACAGACACACGCATCAGGTCGGTGCAGATACAAGAGATGACACTGAGTGTTCTTGTGAATTTTTCTCACGGTCAATGAATCCCATGAAGAAGAGCACGTGAGCCTGTAACTCAATAACGTCTCTATTCTCATTTGATCATAAATCAAATCGTTTATTGACAAAATGTTGGACAGTTTTTTATGTTGCATCATGCGCCCCCTGCAGGTTCAGCGTTCACCGCCTCAGACAACCTCTCTCTCAGCTCCTGGGTCACCACCACATCGGGCTTCTCTGGCTTCCAGCACCCACAGTCCCTGTCGGCGATGAGCACTGGCGCCGCCTCCCTGCCCCACCCCATCCAGGGCTCCCTTCCCCCCTACAGCCGGCTGGGCATGCCGCTGACGCCCAGCGCTCTGGCTGGCACCATGCAGGGCAGCGGGCCGTCCTTCCCATCCTTCCACATGCCCCGCTACCACCACTACTTCCAGCAGGGGCCCTACGCCGCCATCCAGGGACTGCGCCATTCCTCCACGGTCATGACGCCCTTCGTATGACTCCATCCTTGGGAGGAGACGACTAAAACCTCACACTAGCGTTCACCCCGAGTCCAGTGCAACAAGTTAGTCCTCCACGCCGGCTCATCACTCCTCATCCAGTTTGTATCTTTCCTCCGGTGTTTGTAAATAGTTCACAGCAGCGGGCGAGCGGGCGGTGACACTACGAAGAGGACGTCGCTTCCTGAAAGAGAATCCAGAAGAAAAAAATTAAAAAAGGACTGAAAGAACCCAAGATCTGCGGAAACACCAGCAGGTCCACGGGTTTCTATGACAACTGCAACATCTAACACAAGACAACAAAGGGAGCATGTTTGAAGAACAGTGGATCCTCAGTTCAAACCAAATTTAACAATATTTCGAAGACCACGTCTTCCTCTAAAGATTCAACGTCTCCACCGAGCTTTAAACACGGCAGGTCGCTGCGTGATCCTTCAACGGTGCAACTTGCAAATGACTTCCTGGAGAGACTCGTATCTGACGCTGCAGTACGTTGGACAGCGGAGCTCAGTCTGTGAACTCTTCAGCGTATCAGAGAGGCCGCCTCAGCTTTTCTGTGTTTTCTAGAAAGCAGCCATATGTACAGTACAAAGTTCCAACACCTCCACGCTCTGTTGAAAACACATGTTAAAATACATTGTACAAAGACGAAAATACTGCATTTACTCATAGGAAAATTCTCACTGTAGAGTGCAAAAAAAAAAGGAAAAACCATAGGACGCATGCTGACGCAGTAGACAAACACACTGGGTGAACTTTATATGGAATATTATGGGATGAATATGTTCACCTGCAACCGGGTCGAAGGGTTTTTATTTTCTTTCGAGGTCAAACCAGCGTTTTAAATGGCGAAGAAATTCTTGGATCAATTGAATGTTTAGATTTTTTTTTTCAGGGGCAGAGAAGTTCAGCATTTTCTTTCACCTCATTAAACAACAAAAAAAGACTCAACTCCAAAAACCAACATTATGAACTGAATAAAAGATTATTCATGAGGATAATTTCCGATCAATCGTGAATAAAAATGAAATCCTGACAACAAAATGTCAGCAGGAAGTAAAAAGAGAAAATACAAAGAAACTGTTGCTGGAATCTTCCTGGCCTTTTAGCATGTTAGCCGTTAGCTCACAGCCACATTAGTTGAATACACACACACACGCAAACAACAGGAGTGAAGGATTTTTATTTCCTTTAAAGGTCAAAATCAAACCAGCATTTGAAACACGAAAAAAATTCTGCAAAGATACAAATTCATTTTAATTTAATCTTCAGACTTCCATAAACTTGTATTTCCCCTGTTTACTCTGTTGCTAATTGCACTGACTTGCTCACCGCCACTTCAATAATTTACTTTAAATGTCAGGAAGTAAAAAAAGAAAAAGCTAAACTCGAGGAGCTTCTTTGACCGAATGTTTCCAGCTTCAGTTCATCAGTTATCTTCATGGGGATTCTCTAAATCAACCAAACATTAAATTCCACTGTGTCACTCTCTGTTGTGACTGAGCCTAAATTCAAGTTTCACTAAAACCCATTTTGAAATATCTTCAATATTTCCAGTGTGTAAAACAGCCCCTCAATGTTTTCCTTCTGTTTCCACTGAATGAAACACACAGAAACATTTGAAGTGCGGTTTGTAAACAGCATCTACTGTAACTCTAACGTTCGTTCTGCTGACTGTCGACCGAAGCCTTTTAGCAGTCGGCCTCCAGCAGACTCTCCCGAGCTGATTCGTGTCGGAGCGTGACGACAGGGCGTCCACGCCTGGAAATAATGGCTCCGTGCAGTTTGGTTTAAAAAGGGAGGAGGAAGCTGCAGGAGTCGACTCACACACTCAGTTAATGAAGCGATTTATTTAGAAACACATAAGAAACTAAAAGCAGGAAGATGGTCCGAGAAACTACAGGAGCCAGACTGAACAACCGGACAAAGTTCAGTTTGTGGCCAAAATATTAATTTAAAAAACCACATTACTATTGTGAACTTTGACCATTAAGAATATTTTTCAACTTTAAAAAGATCTATAATAATTATTATGTTCTATTTGATTGTTGAATTAATAATTTTGTCCACATTCTTCAGAAATACGTATAATAATGTTTTATTTAACAGACCACAATGCAAAACAAAAATACTTTGAAATCACCATTAATATTATTAATGTCAGAAAAACAACAAACACACACATTTGAGAAACAGGAGCTGGTGAACGTTTTCTTTAAAATTGAAAAATTCTTGATTTTGAAAATGTTGAGAGATGAAGAAAAGAAGCTGTTGGTTCTTTTGCCGTGGATCAAAAAATGGATTCACTGAATCATCTCAGCTCAAACGTTGAAGGATCCATGTCAAAAATATTTATCTTCTACATTTATTCATAAATTGATATTTGATTTTCAAAACCAAGTAAACCAGTATCACTACAGCATCTAGTTTGATTTGAGCTTCACCCAAAAAAACATGAACTGAATTACAGTCGGACTTGTTCATCCTGTTTCGGTCTCTCTCATTCTTCAGCTCTGTTTAGTTTAAGAAGCTGAAATAATGAAATCATTTAACGGTCCTGGTTCAGAGGGAGGTTCAGCGTCAGGTTCAGTCAGAGACGTGTGTGCAATGAACAAAGATGTTTTCAGTGCTCGGACAGAATTTCAGTCTGTGTAAAAAAGGTTTCACAAACACTGTAAATGTTCCTGTTTGACTTTTGCCATATTTTGACATCATAAGACGCCTGATTCTGTAGAATGTGGACGTTCATGTTCTTTGTGCGTCATTAATGTGGAAGCAGTTGATTTATTCTCATTTGTGTGTTGATGGAAAAAGTACTTGGGTCCTTTTCTCCAGTAGTTTCCTTCTTTCCACGTCACAACAACACTCTTTGAACCAAACGCACATTCCCGACTTACCACTGAGAATATTCTCTCTTTCCTTCTTATTTTTTTATGTTTTATTTCCTTTTATATTCCATAATCTGAATACGACACCGGACGAGATTGTGTTTTGATGATTTTTTTTTTTTTTAAGTGCAATATATTTATTTTGCTCTCTGGAAATAATGTGTAATGTACGATGCCGCATTAAAAAAAAGTAGTTATTTGTAAACCTTGAGAAATATATATCACCACTCAAACACTTTGAGGTTCTTTTTCTTTTTCGGATATTGTGTAAGTTTCTCTCTCACAGTGAATCACAGATGTTCAGAAATAAATGAAGTCATGAGATGATTTAAAAACCTGCAGCTGAAAACACAGATATTTATTTAGATTTCACTCTTTTCACTGAGGCTGGTTTTTTTTCTCTGTGTAAAAAAAAAAAAATCCTGTCATTTATTTTTTCCCGTGCCGTCATTCAATTATCTGTATCTTCTAGTTTACGGGATAAAATATTATTAAACGTGAAAGAGGCCGAAACAGAAATAGAGCTTCATGTTTTAACTGCCTTAACATCACATCATACAGCACCACCTAGTGGTCAGCTTTCACATCGCACCGATATACTCTGCATTGGCTCCGTTATATCTGGTTGGGTGCACAGTGAGCCTGAATTGCGATACATTCATTTTCTTTTGTGCAGAATCTAAATGTCAAATTCATGATTCTGTTGAAGCTCAATCTCTCAGTGAATTCACGATTTTCACAAATATTTATTTTTTCTAAAACTGACAATATTACAATATTAGTTAATTTCTATTTTATAACAAATATGAGAAAATAAGTGTCACGACATTATTGTAAAAGCAACATTAAACATTACAAAACAAGGGATTAAGAACAAATTAAAAAATATATATATAAAAGACATATAAAAATGTGATAAAAGTTAGGAGTAGTGAGATAAATGTGTTGTTGCTTGAACTAATAAAATCTCCAGCTTTGATTTTAAAGACGTGAGAGTTTCAGCTGAACCTTCTCACATGAGCAGAATAAAAACTGAACGCTGCTTCTTCATGTTTAGTTTTTACTCTGGGGACAGAAAACAGACTCGTCCCAGACGACCTGAGGGGCCTAGGGGACGGTTCGTAACAAAAACAGCAAACAGAAAAACACAAATTCATTTTGGCCCTCGATCATCGAGTGCGTCATAAAACAAGAGAAGTATTTAACATTTTTCGACAGACAGGAAGAGTAAAGACCAGACAGCTGATGTGATCCACATGTTGGTGTTTGTGACACTGTGATTTGTATCAGCTGCAGAAAAACCTGTAACGGCAACATCACAATACAGATCAGACGATCAGAACTCGTTGTCTTTTTACTCATGAATAATCCAACAGGAAAGATTTTCTGAATTTTTAGTGTTTTCTTGAATTTCTGGCAGCAAGGCAAAAGACGCCTGGTGGACAGGGACACGATGAGAGGGTTGATTTTAAAATGGAAAGTTATTAAAGGTGGGAAAACACAATGATGAAGCCGATCAGTCACATTTGAAACTACTTCCTGTGAACCGGACACAGACGTTCAAAACAACACTTTGCTCTTTATACAAATCTAAACAATCTCCATCAAATGAGTTGCTCCCTGTTGGTCGAGGGCGTTCAGCAGAGGCTCCATCCCCCGATCACAGTCTGTCTCCAGCTGACGTCTTCAGCACAAGATGGCAGCGTTCACGTCCGCCGATATTTTGGCTTCATTTCTGGAGAGTGGGAGGACGTGGAGACGTGTCGTCCATCTTTATTTACAGTCTGTGGTAAATGGTGTGTACTTATATCACTCACACACACTTCAGTCACACACTGGCTGCACAGGGTTCTTTTTGAGGTTCAGTATCTTGCCCAAAAATGCACAGTGCGTAGAAAGGAGGAGACTGGGATCGAACCACATTAGTGGACGACCCGCTATAACTCCTGAGCCACATGACAATGGTGTGTCATCATGGCTGAATGTGGTCCCAGAGGAATCTACTGGTTGGAAGTTATCTGTCTCTGTCTGTCTCTGTCTGTCAAGAAAGATGTAGTCACCAAACTTTAAACTTAAAACGTATTCTTCTGTTGTTTTGGAATCACAAGTTTATTTTCTTAAAACTGTTTAATCGATCATTCACGCCGTCACATTGAGAGAATGATTCCTGCTGTTTTCCCAAACTATGCCGAGGTCATTCACTTGATATCCAGATGATAACAGAGTAAAAGTTTTCTTGGGATTTGCTGACCTCATGCTTTTGATAAAGATTCCTGATAAAGCAAAAAGAAGAAAGTTAGAGAAGGTTAAGAATGACAAATGACAAAGATTCAAACACTCTGCAGCCCCGAGGAGCTGGTGAATTATTAAAAGCAGCTGTTATGCACCTCTGCATTAGAGTCCATCATGAATCACAATATTCTGTGACAGAGCTGTGAGCGATGTGCGTAGAAATAAGAGCAGTGACGTGTCACATTTACATTTCAGGCATTCTGCCGACGCTTTTATCAGCAGCAGCAACGGACATGAATATTTGAACGAGTCAGAAATCATTCAGTCGTGAGTAAAACTCGAATTTTAAAAAGCAAACATGACGTCAGACTCAAACACACACACACACACACACATATCTGCTCTGACGACTTCACTACATGAAAATCCACTCGTGCGCTCGTCTATCACCAGAACCATCACCCGCCACCACAGACGAACTGACGGATCGATGGCTGGACGTTAGTCACCGTTTCACCAGGAAGAAGGCCCCACTTCGGCCCTGATAAGAATCGGTTACATCCTTCGAAAATAAATAAATAAACAAATAAATAACATCCATTGCGGCCGTGATTGGATTAAAGAGAGAGGGGAAGGGCAAGACGAGCCAGTGTGAGGTATGGCCCAACAAATTGGAGCTAACAGTCGGGCCAGAGAGTCCATTTTGGGGCATAATTTACACGGTGAGGAGCATGAGCTGAATCTAATGTCATTTCCATCAATTTTGCATTTTGGCCCTTTTTTCCTTCCCCCCGGGCTTTTAGCGGTCGTTTGAATCGTCTGGCGGAGGACAGCCAGCGAGCATTACAATGTCGGGGACGACATTTAGCGCGGCAGCAGAGTGAGAGGTGCTTCTTTATGGTGTGGTGACTGGCTGCAGCACGGCAGCGTGCACCCATTGATGCACCATCCCGCAAATGGCCAAGAATATGCTAATAGGCAGAGAGCACGGAATTGCCCCAGACAAGCCACTTAATGGATGTTTTATCTGCAGGTCGAGAGTCTCATCTGCTGCGATCCGTCCTGACAAGACGTGCCAAGTCAAATTTAGCGATAAAGCACTTTTAACAAACAGGCCACAAAGTGCTTCAGGGAGGACAAAGGACACAAACACACAGAGGAGTTTGTGGTGAAATGAGAAACCTGTTGGCAAACAATGGGAAATCGTTTTAGCGGAAATACGCCCTGAAAGCAAAGTTGCCCGAGGACAAACGGAGACGACAGGACTTCCTGACAGAGCTCGGAATAATTTCACGTCCTGCCCGCAAACCTTTGCATTTCTGCTCGAGTACAAATCTCTCTGCAGAAAGTTTCTAAAACCAGGTCGGACATGAAGTTCACAGATCCACTCTGATATTTTAATAATGAAAATACGATAAAACCGAGCTGGCTGCAGTAAAGGTCAAAAACCCTCCTCCATGTTAGCAGATGGGACATGGACAAAACTAAAAAATGAAAGTTCACGTTAAATAATTTCCCAAAGATGGATTCTGTCATTCAGTTCTTATCACACCGATGTTTGTTCACGTGCTCATGTTTCTGATAAGTCCGATAAAAAACACACGTCTGAGATCTTTTCATTTTTGTTTCCGGACCGTTACAGTCATGATGATACACAGTGGAGGAGGAAGTCAGTAAACAAACAGATATATACAGTACCAGTATAAACAGTACCAAAAGTATCACATCAACTTTTCTACTTGAGTATAAGTATGTACATGCTTTTAGATTTACTGAAAGTATTAAAAGTTCAAGTACTTGTTGAGTCTATTTAATGTAACTGTACTGCATCATTAACTGTGTCTACTGTATTGTACTATTTCAATACAAGAATAATACAGACTCTACTACTACTACTACTACTACTACTACTCTACAGATGCTGCTGAAAACACATAAACCTGTTGAATCCATTTCAGCTGTTTCTTCTTCACCAGTGATGACTGCAAGGGGCGGAGTCTGATGTTACCCGCCTGCTCTGATTGGATCGGTTGACTCCTCTCGTTATTGATAACTTTAGAAAATATGAATAACAATGTGAACAGGAAACAACAATATGAAGCACAGATATTTGTATATATAAATATATGTAGTTGGGTAAAAGTTTCTACTCATGTAAAGAATTGATTGACAGGATATTTTCCTGATCTTTGTCCTGGTTCCTGTAGCTCCGCCCTGATTCTACCCATCAGTCATCAACGACGTTCACCTGAGAGCTGAGGCTCCATAAAGCTGCCGAGCACCAGCCTCACAGGGGGAGAAGTTTCAGTGTGGAGCTGTGGTGGGTTGTGTTGTGGTTGTGTTGTGGTTGTTTTAAAGGTTGTCTGTAGTTCCAGTGATTCCTGGTCGTTCAGCGATGGCGGCGTAACAACTGGTTGCTGCAGTGCATCAGGTGACACACGCTCCATCTCCTCATCTTCTAATAAACCGTCTGCTCTGCGGCCTCGGTGGCAGGTGTCCAGCCCAACTGCTTCCTCTCCACAGACAACGAGGCCTGATAGCCGGGGGAACGGGCCGGCCGCATAACAAGGACTTATTATGATGATGAAATGTCCTACAAGGGCTCAAACACCCTCTTAGAGAAATCTCTCCCACAGATAAGGGGAGTCTAACCTCGCCCCAGAGCCGCGGGAAAAATTGAGGGGTGGTGGGGGCCAGGGTGGGGGATCCTAACCTGATTGGATGGGTGGCTCGGAGGGGGCGCCCGTAACGAAATCAAATGGCCGTCAAGCCGCTGTCATGCATAATTAATTGGGCCTTCTACGACCAACTACACAAAAATCCATGGTCATTCGATTAGGGGGTTTTGGAGGACTCTCTGAAGTGCATCGCTGTCTGAGCTGCTTCCTCGCTCACCTCGCTATCTGTGAGGACAGCGTCAGAGCGAAAACCCAACACTGTTCAACTGCAACATCCAACCGACACAAGCCCCAGACTTTCAGTGAGCTCCCCTCAAAGCTCAAGGGCACGTTGACTCCAGAGACGTGAAAGATCTGCTGACACAGACTGAAACCTCAACGTACACACAGGGACAACCTGCAGATCTCAGCAGGTGGAGGAAACACATGGTCCTGTCCCCCGTCCACCAGACAGCTGCACTTCACTGAGACACTTTCCTTCCTATCTGTCCCCCCCGGAGACAATACTGAGCCTGTGCTACATTTCTGGTAGCGTTAAGAGTCAGAGTGGCTTAAAAGAGACAGAGCCATGAATGAATTGAAGTTTGCCATCAAGATTAATTGTTAATATAAAAATGGGATGAAATGTAATGACTGTTAAAGTGTTTGTCATCAGGACGCTGATGAACGTGCACAGGCTGGCTTTAAAACAGAGTATTTCACTTTTTAATCTCATTATTATAACTCTTTATTTGTTTATACTTATTTTACTTGAGTACTTGCTTTTCGTAAAAAGGTTTTTTCTTAGTATTAATACTATAATTGTTTACTATACATCACAATGTCTCTCTTTTTAAAATGAGATGTGATAAAGTAAATACAGAAATAAGAGCATGTTACAAATAGTTTCAAACACTACGATCAAAGTTTTCAAAGAAAAAAACAATATGTTCACACATACAATGAAGTACCACTCTGAACTGTAACATCTGTGAGTGAATGGTGCCGCCTGTGGGACATTAGACGAACTACAGCACAGGAAGTAACACACGGCAGACAGAAAGTTAAACTGCAGCAAGATTTTTATTCAAAAAGCATATATTCAGGAATTAAAGATGCATATACTTACATGTGTAAATACATTAAGTGGGAAAACAATGTGCTTCAGTAGCTGCAATGTCTATAAGCACATCGAGTGCATACATGAAAATGTCTTTAAGAGATGTGGTTTCACGTTTTATTAAAGACAAACATCTCCCCATCATTTAAAGGAGATTCCTGTTTTTTTCCCCATCGTGACCTGCGTCACTTCCCTCGTCTGAAGACATTTTTGAAAGCGTGACCTTATCACGGTTTAAAATGGAAGACATCTCCCTCCGGAGTCTCTCTCCATCATCACGTCTCAATGAATTCATGATCAATGACAGAAAAGAAAAACTTTCACTGCTGAAGCATTAAGTCCAATAACACAGCTTGATATTTCTTTTTTAAATGTTCACGTGTTCCACTCAACTCCTCAGAACACACACACAGCGTCTGCTCTTTAACTTCAGACTCGTGGTTTGAAGTGTCCGTTTGTTGGCGGCAGGTAGAAGGTTTGTAGTCGAGCAGCTGGAGTTGTGTCCTGCGGTAGAAGGGTGTGTAACCAATTGGTTTTTGGAAACGGGGGCATTTAGGACCATAGAGAGGAAGGTGGGAACTGCTGTACAGCGACACCTGCTGGCAGGAGGAAGAGGGGGGTCTACCTAGTTGGCCGGTTGGGGCCGTCCCTCCGGGATGAGCGAGGTGAAGAAGGTGCTGATGAAGGACCACACGGTGGTGAGGAAGCTTGGCTCAGGGAGAGCAGGAGCAGCGGGAGCAGCAGGAGCAGCATCAGCGGCGGCCGCAGCATCAGCGGCGGCCGCAGCATCAGCGGCCGCAGCATCAGCGGCGGCTTGGTCCTCAGGGCCACCGCCCCCTTCCTCACCGCTGTCATCGTCCTCCAATCCCTCGTCCATCAGACGTTCCTTCGACACACGTACAGAGGGAGGCGAGGTTACAGAGACACACATTACTGAGGACATTTGTTTTTCAGCAGGAAAATCCTCAAACAATGATTTGAATAACATCTTGTTTTGTGTGTCTAACTTTCTAAACAGTTTAAATATTCAAAACCCCATTTGTTTTGAATATGAATTTAAGACCGGTCAATATCTCTGAATACATGTATTCTTCCTGTCTTTACACTTTATAAACTAGTTTAATTACATTCATAGTTTTCTATGTATTTTTTATATTCCTTACACTTACTGCTGTATTACTGCACATGTCCCCGTCGTGGGATTAATAAAGGACTAATATCTTATCTCATCTTATCAACATTCTTAACTCACCATTTCCTGAATGTCCTGAAGTCTCTCTGCTTCCTGCTGAGGAGCCTCCTGCCTCTCTCCTCTAAGGTTCTGCTGCTCCGGCCTGAAGGGAAACCAACCGGCCTGGTGCCTAAAAAACACACAAACAAACGCACCCTCACACCTGAGTTTAAAGTTTAATCTGTAAAGAGACGACTTTACTCTGGTCTGACACAGAACCGAGACCGGACTCACAGGTAGACCAGAAGCATGGCGCCGATCACCATGACGAAGCGGCTAAATGAAGAGTAGAAGTAGACGATGCTGAGCAGGACGCCAGCGCGAGACACGGTATACAACCAGTCCAGCCAATCGCGGTTCAGCTCGTCATCGTTTAACACTGCGCCGCCCTGCGCATTCATCTGGATGTTGGGGTTGGCGGGCTGGTTCTCTGGTAAAGGGTTGGGGGCCGGGTTAGGCCCCAGCGGCGGCTGCACGGCCTCATTGGGCTGAGCGGCCTGAGGGGTAATGGACGAGGGAGAGGAGGGAGGCGGGTCGCTGGGAGGCTGAGAGGCAGCAACTGCAGCTTGGCTGAGAAGACGAAGTGAAGAAGAGACAGAAGAGAGGAAACACAATATATCTCAAATTAAATTTGTTATTGAACGGAAGGAAGATTTAGATTTAGTCTTTTATCCAGTATATACAATCGCAGTATTTCCAAACAGGATGCAGTACATTCAGTTGGCCAAATATTATGAGTTGTGAGGGAGCAGTATATTAGAAAAACGACCTGTCGAATTTATTTGGAGTCAAATCTGGATTCAACTCTTGCGCAGCACAGGTGTAACTTTCAATAACCATTTCCAGACACATCTCTTTAACTTACTATTGCATGTAGTAATGCCGAGCGTACATCTGCTGCCACCACAGCATCTGCATGGGCATGTACATCGGGTGGGGGGGCATGTTGGCAGGGAGGCCTCCTTGTAAAGGGACCTGAGCTCCATCTGGCCTGTAGAAGAGCGACAATGAACAAGACGCACAAACAACACCAACATCTCCTGCCTGCCGCCTGCCACTGAAGATCACTGACATATTTTGGTTATATAACATTACATAGTTCTTATCATGTTTGACATCACTGTGAACAGAGCCTGTATAAACTGTATAACTTAAAACATCTTGTGCGTTGTCTCATCAGAGGCTGTCTTACCACTGAGGGACACCGGGGGGGCTCTGCGGGTTGAACTGGGGGAAGCTGCCGCGATACCTCAGTCCATCGTAACCTCCAGGGGGAGGGGGGGAGGAGGAGGAGGAGGCTGGCTGACTGTCCTGATTAGCCGTGGTGGCAGAGGAGGCGGGGCTGGCACTAGCTGAACTCTGAGTGACATCAGAGATAAAAACACGAATCATCACCAGCGTGTGGGAAACAGAATATTTTCAAGGTGAATTTTACAAGTAGTTGGATTCAATAGACATAAACAGGAGCCAGCGAATGTTGACGACAGGCGACATTTAAAATCTTTTTGTAACAAGGGTTTAATAAAAACATCAAGTTTTTTATATATATATATATATTATAATGTCTTCTTCAGGGTTTAGTTGTGTATAAAAGCTGCTGTCACTAAACATGAAAAGCTTAATTAAAAAAAAAAGTGGCTCAGCAGCTCCCAGAAATGTTGATAAAGAAGAACAATGCACCACGTCAGTTTGTTTTCAGCCTCCGTGTGTCCTGTGATGAGGCTCAACTCCAAACAATAGAGCTGTCACACACACACAAACTCTCAGAGAGGAGGATGTGTCTACTCACGCTGGAGTCAGAAGCCGTAGAGTTGGCCGCGGAGGGGCTGTGAGGCATGGGTGAGCCTGGGGGACTGTGTGAGGCACACACTAGGTGCATCATGTGGTATCCATCCTGCTGTGGGTCGATAAGTTCAGGACACGAGCCGGAGATGTGGGAGGAGGAGAAACAAGAGGAGGAGTTGGCGGTGAGGGCCGAGAGACAAAACAAGAACAGAGTGGGAGAGAGGATCAGCGTGGAAACGACCAGAATTCAGACACACAGTCGCCCTTTGTTGATTATAGATCAGCTTTTGTTTCCCTGACAGTCTGCTCCAGTTCCTGAACATTTGCACAGACACAAAGAATCTATTTGCAGGGCGGCCAAACTAAACTGTATCTGTGTGAAACTTTGCGCATCATCAGTCGTCACCTTTCTGAGCACATCTCTGAGCTGCAGGTGGTCCTGAAGGAGTCTCCCTGAGTACACCAGCCGCTGGTCTTTGGACAGCTACAACACAGACAGCAACACATGGTGGGACAGGGACATGAGCAGTGTGAGGACAGTGGTAACTGTGTCTTCATTTAATTGTCAAAACACACAAACAGCAACATGAAGGTGCATTTAGGTGACTTTATAAATATATATACTGTGTCTTTATATGTGATATGTTTTGAATCTGATATGTAATCTGGTAGCTCTTGGACAGATGTAAACATAACCACAGGGTGGAAGAGATACTGCTCAGGGCCCGGGAGCAAACCAGGGTATACAGCTAAAATTAACCCCTGAAATCCTGAAATTATGACCTCGGAGGAACTCAATCTGTTCCTGAACCTGTTTTACTCTCCTCTGGTACCGAGGCCCCTGCTGCTCGGCTTATCCGTCTTGTTGTTGTTAATTTCGGGTGTGAGACCGGAAACATGTCATCGTCCAAACTCAGATTTAAATTGAAATGTCAATATCTACAATATCCATAACCACTGTGCCAGCTCGCTGTGCTGAGAAGGATAATGTGACAGTGAGACTAATTCCTCAAATGCTCAACAACAAACGTGTTTTGAGGAAACACTGCCAGTGTGAGGTCACAGCAGGAGATCCTCCGCTTTAGGTTTATAGTAAAAAACTAGATACGTCCTTCTGACTGAGATATGAACTGGAGCATGTTTAAACTTTAATTGACACTGAATTTTTTTTTCTTTCATTTTGAAGAAAGTGGTTTATATGTTTGAAATCTGAGGAGTAGAAACAAACACATTAACTGCAGTGCACCTTAATGTCTTATCTTAAATGTGCAGCACTGCCTGTTTTATATAGAAAATGTAAGAGGAGACGGCTGCTTGTGAACAAACCAACACAATGAACCTGGTAACGAGTAATTACACAGGATAAAGACTGCTGTATTGTATTTATCACATGACTGGAACATAACAAAGCAGACGGGATCATACTGCAGGAGTGGCTAGAGAAGTTGTTCTCCCACTTTTAAATATATTGAACCTGACTAAACTTCAAGCAGCAACACTGTCCATAAAAAGATAAACTACAACACCACACTGGAACATCTATCAAAAACTTTGGTCAAAGGCTGAACTTTTTAAACCTATTCCTGATCCTCACGAGTGATTCAAGCTGTTTCTTTAAAGTAAATTTAACTCAATTCAAGTCATAACAAAGGCACCAGAGAAACCACAGAGAGACTGGACTCACCGGTTTGCTGGGGTACACGTTGGAGATGTGACTCTTCAGCCTCTCCACGGTCCAGTTGAGGAAGCAGTTAATGGTCTGGTCTTCATACTTCTGGTTGGGGGCCTTCAGGACCAGGGTTACAGGACTATCAACTGCCCCAGAGTCCATGGCTCATATTACTAGCAGGGTGGGGCTCTGAAGAACCTGAGCTCAGGAGAGCTTAGTGTCACGACTCAGGACTCACCTGAGGAGAGAATGTCCCTCAAATCTTCTCCATTCTGGCCTCACAAATAAAAACACCTACAACAGTCCCTGTCGTACCTGGGGGTGGGGGGTGGAGCTCCCCCTCTACAACATCTGCTCCATCTGGAGATCTGTGGTGGTTTCTAATATAATCACAGCTGCTCTTGTGTGGTCACAGCTCCTGGATTTCTGGAGGAAGAAGAGGAAAAAACGTGAGTGACTTTGGTACGAGAGGAGGTAAATGTATATATTCAGTACTTTGTTGTAGCAAAGTAAATATCCTTGTGATTTGGAAAAGCATTATTATTATGTCATATCAAATGATTAATGTTATTTTCCACTATTTTCTGATGTTTAACAAACAGTTAAACTGATCGATCGATCGTTCGTGGCGATGTTCTTCACCTCCAGTCTTACGGTGTAATAAACAGAATATATTGCGTTTTGGACGATGTAATAGAAAGTTTGAAAACTATTTGTAAGGCTCTGAGAAATTATTAGTGACATTTTCCACATTTTTTAAAAAATATTTGACAAACCAAACCTCTAATCAACACATTCCCCTTCTGAGGGTCTGAGACATGGATATGCAACTTTTCCACTGATTCCCTGACTTTTAAAACTCAAACAACTCTTCGACTGGTTGAAAGACACGATGGAAACATTGGCCACAGGTGTGAACGCTGGTTGTTTAACTCGTGTGAGCTGCGTGATGATCTGTTGGAGGTGGACGGAGCAGCTGAGTTCCCGACACCTGCCCTGTTGCATCATGTTCACACTTCACTACCAAAACAACTATACCACCTCTAAATCACCACGAGTCAAGCTGGCGAGCAGCCGAGCTGGTGAACTGAGCTAACACGTCTGTTTACCGACACAGTCCTCGTGTCCACGCACCGACACATCCCCCCCCCCGCGTCCAGTCCGGTGTAAAGGCAGCTCAGCCCGGACTGTTTATACTCTGACCCCGGTCACGGAGCCACGGTAGCGGAGTTAGCTGCTCGGCTAACTGCTAGCTAGCTTCTGCGGAGGTTTGCTAACCCCAGGTCCGGACTGAGGAACCGTGTCCGCGGTGACAGCGCGTTCGTCGGCCTGGCTGAGCGGACTGACGCCGGGTTATCACCTCTGATGGGGGTTAGATCTGCTCCTGGACCGGTTTCACTCTGGTCCCGTCGGCCCGCGGCTGCTCGTCTGCTCCGTCCTGTTGTTGTAAATGTCGGGTGTGAGACCGGAAACACGTCATCATCCTCCCCACAACAGCTGATCAGATAAATAAATAAACCACGCGCATTATTATTATTATTATTATTATTATTCAAACTACTTTTTAAAATGTTTATGTTTACTCTTATAAAACATAACAAAACAAAAACAACAATCATTCAAACCATTGTTTATTTATATGTTTACAGTGATGTGGTTGCTAGGAGACACCAGGTAAACATTAGTTTATTTAAAATGTTCATTAACCAGCCATGATAATACAAATGGACGATAATACTAACACCATACTAATACTATACAGAAAAGTGTTTGGGAACCATTTCCCTGACTTACAATTCCCGACAAAATTCCCTGACGCAAAAGATATTAGATTTAAAGAATGTCCTAAATGTTTCATCCGTGTTAATTTTGTAAAACCTTTTTAAAAAACTACATTTCCCTGAACATTAAATCTTCTTCCACCTTTTAATAACTTCTAAAAACATTTTGTAATGGTTATTGTCATGAAACATTTAGAAAACCCTCTGGTAAAACTCTTTGAGGATTCTCATGAAACCTAAAAGTTATTTTTAAAAGACTTTAAAAAAATGTATTTCCCTGAATGATTTAATCTTTTGAGATGTGTGTAATGTTTTAAAAGCATTTTGTTACGTTTATTTTTCATGAAACATTTTGAAAATCTTCAAGTTATGTTCTCTGAATGTTTTTTTGTGAAACTTATAAAGACCACTACTTTAAATAATATTTTTAGATAAATCAATCACTTAAGCTTCTGTCAAAACACATATATTTATATACTTATATTATTTCTTACTGTACTTTTTACTCTTGCTCATTCAGTTCTAAACATTGTCAATTTCAGGAAACATAAAACCATTAACAAACAAAATCAGTAGTTGCAGGAACACATTAAAAGAAGTGCATCAACTATAGAGAAGGATAGACGAGCTCATGTCTTTTTTTTTTAAACTTTTATTTATCCAGAAATGGTTTGATAAACATGTTTAAATAAAGATGTGTATTCACTTTTTCCATATATAGATTTCCAGTTGATCACCTTTTAGCCACACGCTTGTTCCTCTGTCTGGTTTTCGAATTTTCTGGTTCTGATTTCAGTTTGCGTAAAACCTCTTTAGTCAGTTGTTTACTGTAGCGGTTGATCTTCCAGCTTCCAGGCATCCACCCCAACAGAAAACGGTGGAAATCTGTCCAGGCAAACGCAAACATCTCCCGCCACTCTCTCTCCAGGGCAGCAAAGTCCACATCTTCTTTCACAGCGAGCTTCAGCTCTGTGAAGTAGAAGTCCAGTAATCCTTCTGCCTTCCTTTCACACTCGTTTTCGTTCATGCAGCTTCCTAAAAAATAAACCACATCCTTCATCCCACAGCCTCCACCGATATACTGAAAGTCTACAGCCGCCACATCCTGTCCATTAGGGGAAAAACAGAAGTTGGCCAACTTGGCGTCTCCGTGAACAACAGTCTTGAAGCGACATTCGTTGAGTATCCTGTCGATGTCGCCGGCTGCTGCTTTAAGCACGGCATCGTCCATGGCCTCCAGCTCATCCGGCCGGGTCTCCAGGTGCCAGTAGGTACCGACAGGCCACAGCCCCTCTGGTGCCACACCCAGGAACAGAGCATGGAAGTGGGCTAGCCAGCGTAGGCATGCCCTTATCTCTCTGTCCTTCACGCTGGTTCTACAATGGAAAACAAAGTTATTTACCCAGCCTGAAGTTTATTTATTCTCCTATTCATCATGTCTTGCTCTGGAGAAACCATAAGGTTTAACAGGCATCTAATGACCAGAAGAGAAAGGTTTGCTGTATTTATACCGAAGCCCAAAGGTTGAAATGCAAATCTATTACTGAGAAAACTAAAAATACATCCTCAGCATCATCAGGAGTTTTAACAACTTGAGTAAATCTATAATTTGTTCATTCATTTGATTCCCCAGACTTGACCTATTATTTCATCATTTTGTCATCGTACCTCCTCTGATCATAACCAGCCACATCCAGATCCTCCAGCACGATCAGCATCTCGTCTCCATGGGAACAGGCGGCCAGGCAGGCGGGGATGCGACAGTTCTGATTGGTGGAGTAGTTCTGGTACCAGTGTGTCTCCACCTGATAGGATCTCACTTTACGCCTGTGGGAGCGATCTGTGTTCCAGCCGCCCGGGTGCTCGGCCTCCTCAGGAAACTTGATATGTTTGACAACCACAGACGGCCGGTCGCAGCCGTCCAGGTGCAGCCGCACAATCTCCCCATAACCGCTCCACAGGGTCTGGATCTTGGCACCAACGCGCAGAGCTGAGGCTCCACACGCCTGCAGGATGAGATCCTGGTTCTCCTGTTTCATGTCCCAGGTCAGAGCTGAAAGAAGAGGAAGCACAGGGTCAGTACTCGTCTATTCAAGCGTCTGGAGATAACCTGGTTAAAGCTGGCGTCTGGTTCAGACCCACAATGATTTATCTGTTCGGTGTCAGCGTTTATATTTCAATAAAATATATAATATCTTTTTTAATAACCTTTTTAACTCAACATGTATTTAGTGAATATCATTGACTCTTCCTCTCTTCTTTACTTTTCATTCTATGTAAATGGTTCATCTTTCTGTACTTCTCTTCTTCTGATCTTTCTGCTAATGGGTTTGTTTTGTATATGAATGTCTTTCATATTGTCTAGACTCAAATGTTTAATCTGTTATCGTAACTGAAGTATTAATGAACCCTGTTCCCTGTGTTGTTGTATCATGTCAACATCTCAGCTGTGTGTTCTGTTAGCATTTTCAATAACATCTTTTAACATCTGTTTAAAGTGAAAACATCTGGAGATGTCATTCTGTTTGATTGAGTGGATCATGTTATCACTGGTGTTTGGACACTTAAAAAAGATGTCAGGACAAAAGCTTGATTCTTTCTCTCACACACAAATTCAATCACCTCTAATATTCGAGCCAGTAAATGTGAATACTAACATAACTACTGCATCAAATTAACCACAACGTGATGTGAACACTCAACGTTACCTGCTGCTTCTTGTCAAATGTGAATCTATCGACAGGAGAGAACAGGAAGTGTTGTCTCCGGCCCTCTGTGTCATGATTAAAGACACAGACATGAAATAGAAAGTTGTTTCACATGAGTACTACTGCTCCCTGCTGGACTGGAGTGCACTAACACATGGCAGATATATAAAGGCAGATAAACTGTGGAGTTGGATATTTGTGGGTCATTGGGGCTTCATGGCAGAAATTCAGCCAGTCACCGTCTGTCTCTCTGCCATGTGCAATTTTAAATGAAAGATGAGTTATTTATGATTATAGAACCTTTCTGTAGAAAGAAGAAAAGCATGTTTGAGCGTAAGCAAAGGTCTTATTAGACACTCACCTTTAGTTTGGCCTTCAAATGCATTGGGATGAAGTTAGCATGTAGCTTGATTATGTGTGAATGTGTTTTACATATAGAGGAGCGAATTCATGCTCATCCTGTTCTTCATCAACTGTTTCCTGCTGGTTTCATCCTTCCCTTTTGTGTCTGTGTGTCTGTGTGTGTCTGTGTGTGTCTGTGTGTTTGTCTTCCCTCCTGATGCCTCCTACAGTTCACCTGCACATTAAAACTTCGTCTGCTTCTTCTACATGTCCCCTCTTCGTCTCCCACGCTGGCTCAATCATTTCAGAAAATCTTGCTTTTAATTTGAATGTCCAAAAAAGATCCAAAACACCTGCGTGAGGCTGATGTGATTCAAGACTGGGTTTAGTTTACACTGAAAAACCTATTTGAAATTGTATTAGAGAAATCAAACTCTTTTGGTTCAGTGTTTTACATCTTGAGGAGACAAAGGATTTCATCAAATTAATCAGCATCTGCTCATCATGGCACAGTGATTGTTGTGATGAACTTCATAACAACAATGGAAAAGATTTTACATCTCATCCTACATCTTATATTTTGATTTGCCTTCTGAATTTATATGTATTGCAAACCCTCCTTCATTTTCTTGTCTGTAGCATAATGAAGTATATCTGCAAATGAAGTATATTTCAGGAAATGCATATATTTAGTTTCCACCACAGTTTTTGCAAACGAAGTCTCATCTATAAGTCTTCTCAGAAATGTAACTTTTATTGCTGTGGTATATTTATTAATTGTGTATTTTAATGAATCACTTTTAACAAAATGGATAGTATAAATAAAGACAAATCACTTTTAAACATGTTCTTTATAATAAAAACTGTTGGACTGACCTCTATATATGGACTTTCCTGGAACTGATTATTCCTGCTAAAGAAAATGGGGGTGAATGGAATAGAATGGAACAAAATTCTACAAATGTCACAGTTCCCAATTGCAATTTCCATCATCACACCTCTTCTATATATTGTGAATTCAATCCGAGAATAGAAACAATATAAATGTTATCGTGATTATTCTGTTATCATCGGGATGGAGTTTTGTGATGTAACTCAACCCCCCCGCTGTCAGCCCGCAGTGGTACAGTCCAGATGACAGCTGGACTCAGCTAGCTTTAGCAGCAGCAGCAGCTTCAGTTTCCTCAGACACTGAAACCGTCGCTTCGACCCGAGAACACAGCGTTTCATTCGTGCCTTCGTCCTCCCGTTTCAAACCGACCCACCACCGACATGTCCTCGCCGAAGAAAGGAGACTTGTCCCCCAGCGAGAAGGAGTTGTTTGAGGTCATCACTGCAGGTAAGCCTCTCCGGCTAATGCTAATCCCTCAGGAAAGCATGGGGCAGTTAGCTCCCGTTAGCTCAAGTTCGCGATGGTAGAATACAACACAGCGCCGTCGGTCGATGCTCGTCGTCTAGCTGCTCTGTCGGAGCTTTGCAAACCCGCGACACTTTGTTAATTCAGTGGTTTGCTGGAGGGCGAAGCTAGCGGCAGCTAGTGCTAGCCAACAGCCAGTGATGCGTTCAGGAGCAGCGTCCTGTCTTCATGTCAACCTGTGGGACAACAAGTGGTTTGTGTACTAATGCATGTGTTTGCTCTGTACGTGCACAACGTCAGTTACTGTCAGGGTTTGCAACACAACCTCACAATCAAGGGGTTCGTGGCTGTGGAAAAGCTTGGGAAAGTGTTTAATGCCATAATAAAAAAGTTTTGTGGTTTTTTTAGGAAATGTTCAGGAGGCCTCGAGGCTGCTGGGATGTAAGGATGTCAGAGTCAACTGCTTGGATGAGGTAACTGACTTAACTCTTTATATATAATATATATATATATATATATATTCATTAAAATAGCTTTAATGTGTCCTAACTCTCACGGGAGGAGGCTGATGTTCTGATTCAGTTCTGAATATTATTTTTGATTTGCACAGGTAAGAAAACTGATGTTAAATAATCATAGCATGACGGCAGTGTCTAAGTAAGTGTGACACGTGATTCAAGTTATTTAATATGAATGATCATGATATTCACTTGTTACAACAACAATAAGTCAAAATGCGTGAACACAAGAGAACACCTGAAAGTGTAAAATAGAATAAATTAGCCAACAGACATTATATATAAAGTAAAACAAGTTAGAGAGACAGTGTACATTACACGATAGATAGAAATTTGAAAGATGCTGAAAACCAAAGAAATGTACTTAAAGTGCAGTGATAGAGGCTGATCACATGAGGGTTATTGTGAATAAGGATGTATGTAATGTATGCATATATGTACTAATATAAGTATATATGCAGGTATGGAAGACAATATGAGTAAATATTTGTATGTATTTATACATTGTTAAATCATTTTATCAAATTTCAAACTGAAAGTTCATTTAATAAAACTTTCAAGTGTTCAGTTTTTGTTGAAAGATGTAAAGAGGTTGTATTAGACTTCATCCCTTTTATTTACCTAAGAAGTAAATTACCAACCGATAACATTTTCATTCGTGTATTCTATCATTGTCATATGTTTCCTGCATCAAATGACCTGGCAGGTGAAAAGCTCCTTGTGTTTATTCTGTGACTCGATTGTTCTCATCACTTCAGAAGTGTCATGAACACATCAGAGACGCTGGAGCTTGTTGTGCAACGTACGATTTGCACGTTGCAGGATGACATGATAAGATCTTCCAGCAGAGCTCTTCCTTTGTTTGGTGACATGTGTGTGGGACAAGAGGACTCGAGTCTTCATGTTGAAGAGCCCTGGAGGACATCTTCCTTCTTTCTGTCTGTCACTCTTTGTGTTCACCTGTCAGAATCAGCTGTTTGAATCAGATGTTGTGTTAAGTAACAGAATCCACGTGAGTCTTTTCAGAAGCTTCGGGACATTGAGATACAAATTTAGCGTTTGCAGACATATACCAGATAACTTCTACTGTATCAATGTGTGGAATCAAAACACATTTTATGTGCAAAATGTATATCAAATTTAATTAGTTAAAAACTAAAATGCAAGACTTACTGTAAAGAAAAAGTTTTCCTATTTGTGACACGTTATAATTATTTATCTGCAGCCTTTAATTAATACAAATCAATTAAAACATTATGATCTTAATTAAAATGTAATGAATAATTTGGAAAATGCAGAAAAATAAAGTTAAACATTAAAAATACATTTAGGTAAAGCATGAGAGCTTAAACTCCATTGTGAGTGACATTGTCCATATGTGTGTCATTTAAAAAGTGGTTTGTTTGTGGTCTTAATAAAGACACGTTCAATTTAAATTGCACAGAACTCTTCAGCCTTGTTGTCTCGTCCACAGTACGGGATGACCCCGCTCATGCACGCAGCTTACAAAGGAAAGGCCGACATGTGCAGGTTGCTGCTGCAACACGGAGCGGACGTGAACTGCAATGAGCATGAGCATGGATACACAGCGCTGATGTTCGCGGGGCTGTCAGGTACGATGTTAGTGCATCAGATGTTGGAGTTGATCATCGCAGCAGAATGATTAAAAATCATCTCCTCTGTTGGTCTGGAAAGTCCCTCTGTGGATGTGTTGTGACTTGTCCTCCTCTGTGCCTGCAGGGAAGACTGATATCACATGGATGATGTTGGATGCGGGGGCGGAAACAGATGTGGTCAACTCTGTCGGAAGGACCGCCGCACAAATGGCTGCCTTTGTCGGTACGTCCGGATGCGATGTGTCCTGACTCACAGTTTTTCTTATCAGTGAATACATCATACACAAAAAGACGAGGGCCACTTCTAATATAAATCCTTTCTCACTTACATTTTTTCTCACTAAAATACATTCTTACTGTTTTGACGTGTGCATTTATTTAAATTATTACACTTTCCTTTTATCAGTGTGAATAGTATGTAGCTCTGACTAAACTTCAACATGTGACCTATTCTTGTTTCTACTTCCTGTCTCCGTCCTCAGGGCAACACGACTGCGTCACAGTGATAAACAACTTCTTTTCACGCGCCAGGCTCGATTACTACACGAGGCCGCAGGGTTTGGAGAAGGAGCCTAAGCTGCCGCCCAAACTGGCCGGCCCCCTCCACAAGGTCATCATGAGCACCAACCTGAACCCTGTCAAGGTACGACGCCACAAGACAAGGACTGTTGTGTCCCTGAAAAGCAATTAAATTAAATGCTGTATAAATAAACTTAGCTTGCTTATAATGGTGAAAAAAAAAAAAAAGATTGCTCATTGAAGAATGTGTTAAATTAGAAAACACACCGGATCTTTGGTACAGTTTGAATTTCTCGTGTTTTTCTCAGATGGTGATGCTGGTGAAGGAGAACCCCCTGCTGGCGGAGGTGGAGGCTCTGGAAAAGTGTCGCCGGGTGATGGAGCTCATCTGTGAGAAGTGCATCAAGCAGCAGGACATGAACGAGGTGCTCGCCATGAAGATGCACTACATCAGCTGCCTGCTGGGAAAGTGTGCCTCCTTCCTCAAGAACCGTGAGGACAAGCTGGATGGACTCGTCAAGAGGTGGGACGTTAAAACTAACAAGTTAAATTAATCGGAGGTAGAATAGATCTTAGAGGAGCATGTCTGAGTGTCCCTCTTTGGCTTCATGCACGTAGTTATGTTTTTAGTTTTTCCTAAAACCTCTTTTCTGCAGTTTGCTGAAGGGTCGGGACAGCGATAGTTTCCCCGTCTATCAAGAGAAGTTCATCAGAGAATGTATTCGCAAGTTCCCTTACTGTGACGCGACTCTGCTGCAGCAGCTGGTGCGGAGTATCGCCCCTGTGGACATTGTGAGTCTGGATAAATTATTAAGAATTGAATTGAGTGAGAGCCTCTTCTAAATGTTTCACTGTGTGTCAGGGTTTTGTTGTGATCAGTTTCGTTGTGCTCGTCTTTGCTTTACTTCAGGGGAATGACCCCACAGCTCTGTCTGTGCTGACTCAGGCCATCACAGGTCAGGTCGGCTTCATGGACGCAGAGTTTTGTACGTCATGTGGAGAGAAAGGAGCCGAGAAGAGATGTTCCATCTGTAAAATGGTGAGAGTCAAGAAATAAATTTTAAGTTTACCTTAAAAAACAACCTTCTGCAGAACTATCATTCCTCTACATATGATTATTTTTACTTTATAAAAACAGCACAAATTTAAAGAACTGTAACATTGACAGGGTTTAAAATGTCTTTATTATAATAAAACCTTTTCTTCCACCAGGTGATCTACTGCGACCAAGCCTGTCAGAAGATGCACTGGTTCACCCACAAGAAAGTTTGTAAGAAGCTGCAGGACCAGAGAGAGATGCAGGAAGAAGAAGCAGACAGACTCAGGATGCAGCAGACAAAAGGTGATTTGTTCTGTAGTTTTTGTGTAATCCAGCTGACACACAAACAAAAGAACGGAAAAACAGGCAAACAAACAAATAGACAGGGATGAGAACATTTCTTGTTGCATGTGAGGTTCATAAAACTAAACAGGATGAAGGCTGAACATAACCTCATGTTGCCTCCAGTGAAATAGAAAAGTCAGACCTCCAGTTCCGAGCTGTGTTTGTGTTTCAGACGAGAGTGACGCGGTGCAGGAGGCAGCGGACTCCATACAGGAGCTGTCAGTGGAGAGCAACAGTGAGCTCGCTGCCTTGAACGTCTCCAAAGCTTCAGACACCACTTCCACCGCAGCTGCTGACAACTGAGGAACACGTAACCGTCGCTGTCAGCCGCCACCTTCTCCAGAAAACATCCATACTCCACCGACAGAGACAACGACCCGGCAGCGAGACCCGACGCCAGACATGGACTGGTCCGACAGGAGGGAGGAGCCTACATATTTATTATGGAGCTGAGACTGTCACACAGGCAGGGAGACACTAAAGCCTCTGAGGAAGGTTTGTGACACAGCCGCCATATGTTTGTCTTTTTTTATGTTTTCTGATAATATCGTCATATGTGAATTTGAACACTGTTGTAGGCTGATGTTTGTGGTAGAGGTCAGTGGGAGGAGTCAAGGGTTCATATCCATGACAGAGCGTAAATCTGCCTTAAGAAACTATAGCAGCCTGTGTGGGGAATAAAGTGACTGTGTAGCCAATCAGAGCTGATGTTTGTTCACAATTTACTTGATTTGTTATTGATTCGTTGTTTTTTGTACTGATAACCTCGTGGTAGATTGTGAGAGGATAGTATGGCTGCACACTAATGACCAAAAATGTATATTTTTAAAGATGAACGATATAATTATGGCTTTATTTTGAAATTGATGGATGACGTTAATGCTCAGGATTTTCGAAATTTTTCATTTTGCTGCATCACCTGTCACCAAATGTTGTTGTACACAGCACAATAAAGAAACATCATGTTCATGACTTAGAAACAAAACTCTGTGATAATCTTTCATTATTTTACAGCCTGAGTGAACAGAGAAGCTAAACATGTCCAACAAGACTCTGTGTGCCCTGAATAACCATTAAATAAAGACCATCCTCATCAGCTCGGCTGTAGAGTTTCATATTTTACACGTTTATATTTTTCTGCGTGGAAGGTCAGTGTCCAGCAGATGGGGGTGTTTCACCAGTATTCAAGATCTCACTGTGGCTCCACAATAGTTTACAACTTTTTTTGTTTCTGCCAATTTCTTACACTCGGGCCTCAACGGATATTTGTATCAGAGTAAAAGTGAGTTATACCTAAAAAAAAATTAAAAAAAATAAGTCAGGTCAAGTACAGATCCATGAAAAATGTACTTCATCACATTCCACCAGTGGATTTGTCACAATTCTCGCAGAATCAGCTATGTTGGTATGGTTGTTAAGCAGTACATCCACTAGAGGGCGGCAAAGAGTCCTGAGTTTCTGACATCAAACATGACAACCATAGAGAAAGAGTTTGTTCCTGTATCCAGGTGAAGTATGGATATATATGTATATATATATATTTGTGTGTGTTTCGTCCTTATCCATAAACTTTCAGAAAACAGGAAAAATCCATTTGAAAGGAACACAGTACAGACAGAAGACTCAGTCAGTCTCAGAGAAGCTGCTGGTTGTGGTCTCTGGGGGACATGATGTAAACTGCCATGTACGTCGGGGGACACTCGAGGCCTAAGGACACGTTTTGTGCCTTGGGCCCCTCAGTGGGTTAATGTGGCCATGTGTTTGAACTAGTAGTAAAAGTAGGCTAATGTTTATTGCCATATCGTCCTCTCCTTCTATTGTTTGTCTCCTGTTGGGATCTTTTCCAAACTTTCTTTCTTGGCTTTGTTCTCGTGTTGTACAAACCTTTTGCCCCCCCGACCATGCCTCTTGTCAATATGCTATTAACCCGGCCACCTCTCATTTCCCATGAGGGTTAGGGGCAACCAAATTCCTGCTGCCGAGTTTCCGTGGGCACAGAGAGGGAGTCAGCTCTCAGCTTTCCGTTTCTTTACACGGTGAAAGTACAAAAGCCGTTGGGGGGGGGGGGGGGTGCTATCATATTCACGTTTCAGCATTCACGCAGCGCGGCTCACAGAAGAGGCTCAGAGGGGCGTCAGAGCGTGAACAGTCTCCTGAGAAGAGACGACCATGTTGTCCTTTATTTTCTCTCGGAAGTGGAGTGAATGCGCCTCTGGTGTCAAACAGAAACAATAACAGACTACGAGCATGAAGGTTAACAACAGGTCGGTTTCTAAACCAAAATATGTAAAGGAACAACTCCATTTACTCCAAAGCTCTGATACTCAAGTATTTCTGTCCCTTCACATTTACTCTGGATTTAAAAAGTTTGGAAGGTGATTTGTTTGAGTGTAAAGACGAGATCAAACTGTTCGTCTGCTTTGATTCAAGCTGCAAACATTAACACTGCAGAGACTCCATTGATAAACTTTCACTCAGAAAGAGAACAAGAAACCACTGCAGGCCTCCTCCTCCATCTTCTCCATCCTGAAAGAGTCTGTGTGATCTGCGGATCAGCTTTCACTCACATGAGCAACGATTAGTGTCCGTGCACGACGCAGCTTTTCAAATCAGTGAGACGAGCCTGGTTTGAATGTTCCCCACACAAGTAATTATATCTGCTCATGTTTAGTGCGGCGGACACACAAAGACTCCAGTTAGTCTGAGCACTTCAGACCTTCAGACGTGTCACTGAGAGGAACTGACAGGAGGCAGCAGGACGTCACACACACACTAACACACACAGACACACGATGAGCCGAACTACAAGAGAAGATTCAGAGATGGTTCTTATCACACTGATGTTCAAGGGTTCATCTTCTTGATCTGTTATTTGATGATAAAAAAACGAGGTGAATTGTCATGATTGACACTTAAACCCATCATCATCATCATCACTATTAACTTAATCTTCATCATCATCATAATTAACTTAATCTTCATCATCATCATCATCATCATCACAATTAACTTAATCTTCATCATCATCAACTTCATCAGAATTAACTTAATGATTATCCTCCTTATCATCATCTTCATCACAATCACATCATCATCATCACCATCATTATTATTACCATCATCATCATCATC